TATAATACTTATTAAAATACACGCTTTTCGGATCTATTTTTTGATTGATCTGAGACTTTAACATTTTTTTAGAAACACATTGCGACACTCTTTTCCCTTTGTTTCTCTCAAAAACCTGAGATTAAAAAAAACGGGTCTTGAAAATCTATATTCTTCTTATGAATTGAACACATTTCACACCTTCATAATCATTGTGCGCACAATTTTTACTTTTTCGATTGTACATTTCCTACACGACTAATTTCAGTTAATATTTGATTTAGAGGCTGTCTGCAAGAACTCTGGAGATGAGAATGTATCAGCTGTGCTGCTCTTTCTAACTTGTTCAAGCTTAAACGTTGTGTGTGTGTGATTCACAAGAAGCCTAGCAAGAATTGAGGGCTGTTTCACCTTGCTGAAATCGCCCTTAAAAAAAAAGGACTTCTGTAAATGTCCTTTTCAGACTTTCCTTTGCAATTATCAAACTTAAATATTATATTCCGCAGTATAAGAAAATTCCTAATACAAAGTGATAAAGTTGGGTAATTATTACCAGGACAGCTGTAATGGTAGCAAATTTTCGAAATTGTTGCCAGTGTCGGCCTGAAGCGCACCTGTCGGTCTTTTGCTGTTGTTTTAGTTTCACTGCCGTAGTGAAAAGATTTTACACTGGGAGTCAGGTGTGGGCTCCATAGCGCATCGCGAACCCCGGGGGTGTGTTGCGGTCCCAGACACTGTAAAAGCGCGTGTTTTCCTGCTGATTCCTGCTGGCTGAGCACAGCGGTGCTGTTGAGCGGAAACTTCTGCGCCGCATGAAAGTGCAGGATCGGAACACACCTGTGCAATTAGCCAATTCGTGAAAGCGGGTCACTATTACATTCATACATATATCTGTGCGTGTTTTGGTATTATTTGCATGTAATTGAAAAAGCACACCAATTAGAAGACCACAATTAAAAAGCATTGTGTCTTTAAGAATTACAGACTTTGAAAATGTCAGGAGTAAGAGTTTAATGGAAATATTAAGAGTATAAGGAAATGTTCACATTTTGAAGCTGCGTTGATACTCTGAAGTAGGTCCAATGCATGGTGTGGGCTAAAGTCTATAGACACCTGGGGGTTTCAGTCATGCCGGGGTTCAAAAAGAGAATATTGACGTCCAACTTTCTCCGTCGCGCCGGTCAGACGCGAAGCGCAGCTCTGCCGGCCGCGTCCTCAGCGCTGATGTGTCCGCAGATAGCGGTCCTCGCCAAATGTTTATTCAGATAAAGGGGCTGCGCAGTTCTCTCATAACCGCGGCCTAATCTGTCCGGCTGGCACTACTGTTTGAGCGCCGAAGACCGCTTTCAGACGAGCTGGAGGGGAAGCTCAGAACGAGCACCTGTTTCACTTGGAGAAAATAATACAAACGAAAAAAAAAGTTATAAGACGACAACCTACAGTCGAAGCTTGATTGACTGTTTTGAGATTTGAAATAGGTGTTTTGTTCATTATTTTTTTTTAACTTTTCTTAGTGGAACAGTCCGTGTGCTCTCCAGTAGTCCCTTCCAGGTCTCACTGTGATTTCCAATTAACAGAAGTTCATCAGTTGTTTGACCTTTGGGAAGTCTTAGACTAACTTCATCGTATTTACATCGGGGGATATTTTTTTTCAGAATAAATTAGTAGTAAACCTCGGTTTTCACGCCTGTACGCGAAAGAAGCAAAATAGGATTCGATTTTGAGATATCTATATTATAGATAAGATACATTTTTACTGACCGCATTTGCGCGGTCATATTTTGCAATGTAAACAGTTGTAAATAATCTCGGGTGATTAGTTTATTGAACATTTTAATATTTTATAGAACCAAAACTTACATTTGAAAACAGTGTAGCTAAATCCTCCTTCTAAGAAATTGGTCCGTTCTTTCTTCCACACAAAATACAAGGCATACAAAAACCCATCTGTCTACTGGCGGTCAAACCCAGTTCGGTGAATTCTGCTTCATAGTGATAGAGCCGGCATCGCAGGATCGTATATTTCAGACCTAATTATAAACATTATACGCTACATAAATGACTATCCAATTATCCATTTGTAGTTTCAGCATTGTGTTGTATCGATAACCTTCGGCTTGGACATTTGATTTTACTGATTTTACTGGGCGCTGAAAATAAACACAGACCTGAGAGAGAGTCTGAGTGTGAAATTAAATTGCGTTGCTCCGTTTCTAATAAGACAATGAAATGGAGCTGTCAAACGGTTCAGTGTGGTATTTTTCGTTTCCCACCGGTTCCTGAATTGTCAAGGCGTTATTTCTCTATTTAAAAAAAATAATAATTTTGTATAGGCAGGTAAGGGTCTCTTGATGTCCTTCTGTTTCTTAAGCGAGTTTGTATCGGACCCAAAAGCGTCAGAAGACGAGAAATACAGGAGACCGATGTGCAGTTTCTCTCCTGTCTGTAATGACCTGTTGGACCAGTGTAGGCCGACAGGCTGTGTGGAAACTAGTTCACTCTGTTTCGTTCTTTTGTAAAGCAGCAATTCGATTGATCAGGATGGGTGTAAATAACGTGTCGTGCAGTAATTTGATTCATCACGATAACAGCAGACAAAACAGAACCATTGAACACAAACTGGCTGAAGTTTTCCTTATCTAGATGAAGTCACAAACCCTGGATTTAACCCACTTCTATTTACATGACCGAGTTTACTAACCTGTTCAGAGCCACGACGAAGTATGTCGAAGCAGACGACGTTAAATAAACGAGTTGGTGTACCGATTGAAACGAAGTGCTTTTAAAAAGGCTTTAATTCCCGTATCTTGGCGAGATTTTGTTTTGTGGCCCAGATTTTTCAGCGCCAAATTAAACCGCGGTGACGTTTTTTTTTAATGTGATTTTTTTTTAAACGATTGATCAAGAAAGGATTAGACAATTACTCAAGATCGAAAATCCGCAGAAAATAAACGCCTCGACTGTGTTGGACGTTCGAGGTGATAAAAGCCGCTATCTTGAGTAATGTTATTATTGGTAATCAAGAACCCACGCTGCAGATAATCTTTGCCTCAGGCCCTCTTTTTCCGCTGCAGGACTCGGGAGACAGATGCTGAGCTCGGCGATAGCCGCTGGATTTGGGTTTCCAGCTGTCCAGCCGAAGATCACAGAAGGTGCTCTTACCTTTTAACGCGCGCTAACGCGACTTTGTCGATTCGGTTCAAGAGATCGAGATCGGCGCCGATCAATTCGATTAATTGCACCCTGTGTCCCCTTGGCGTAGCCTGCCTATTCTCAGCACTACCTGGGCACTATCTGCTAAACATCACCTGCTGTCCGCAGCAACAGCGAAATCATCAGTAACAGCCACGTTAAAAACAAACGGCATAAAATAGTAGTGTTGGCATGAGGGAAGTATACTATAGCTGTAAAATTTAAGCCGGATATGACTTTCATCTTTATTATTATTATTATTATTATTATTATTATTATTATTATTATTATTATTATTATTATTATTATTATGTTCAGATTGTGTCCAGTTTGGGGTTGGGATTTCATGAAATACTGACAACAACAAACTCCAGGAAAGACACATTCATGTTCCGTCCCCTTTTACGAAAGCATTTACCCAACACAGGTCCAAAGTTCATCTTGAAGTTTGGCTGATAAACCCTGCCAATAAAAGGGCCAGTGATCTAGAACAAACACGGGGAATTCAGCGTACCTGCAGCTCAGTCAATAGGGCCCAGTTTCTCCCTCCTCGTTTGCATACTGATTCAAGTCAGCCGGCCCACTCATTACCATATTTTATATGGCTTTCACAGAACATCATGGCAAATTAAATCACTCTCGGCTCCAGGGACACAAACCACCTAACTGAGAAGCAGCAGGTGCTTATTGAGAGAGGAAAGCACACGGGGGAGAAAGAGAACATTTCGTTCCCCATTTCTCTTTTATTTCTTTTTTTTTCCCTCTTCCTTTTCCCCCTTTTTGGTTTTTTAATGTTTGAGAAAATGGTCTCCAAACTGACCACTCTACAGCAGGAGCTCCTGAGCGCCTTGCTGAGTTCCGGAGTCACCAAGGAGGTCCTGATCCAGGCGCTGGACGACCTGGACCCCAGTCCCAACGGCTTTGGAGTTAAGCTGGAGAACTTGCAGATGTCGCCGCCGAGCTCCAAGCTGAGCGGCGGCGGCGGCGACGCGGATTCCAAGCCCGTGTTCCACACCCTGACCAACGGGCACGGGAAGGGCGGCAAGCTGTCCGGCGACGAGGGCTCCGAGGACGGCGACGACTTCGACACCCCGCCGATCCTGAAGGAGCTCCAGTCGCTCAACACCGAGGAGGCGGCGGAGCAGAGGGCAGAAGTCGACCGCATGTTGAAGTGAGTTTCACGTCCGCGACGGTCCCCCGGTCCTTGGCGAGCAGATGTACTCGTCAAAAAAAAAAAAAAACAGTTATCTCCCCACTTCCAAGAACAACTCGGCTGTATATTCCTAAAATGTCATTTTAGAAACGAGGGCGGCGATTTAGAATTTTTATATCGATCTAGTTAAAATCCAAATGTATTTTTTTCCGTTTTGCTCTGCGATATGTTGCATATATATCTATAGTTCCACACCTAAACATTTCACAATCTTCGTTATTTCAATTACCCTTCCTTTGAAATTATTTGATGTTTGAAATCACCGGACATAATGGGAAGTTTGTCTGAAAAACCCTAAAAAAGCGCTTAAGTGACATTAAAATATAGTAGACGCGTTTGACAAATCAACAAGTGCGAGAGATGGAGCGGGTTTAAATGAAAACAAATTTTATGACAAGAACCATTAAAACGAACTAGTCTATAAATATTCGCGTGTTATTTTTTAAACTTCATTACGGATATTGTATCCTCCAAACCGTATTTTTCGTTGTATTTGGACGGATCGAAGTGCAGCAATATTTTCCCTTAACAAGTCCATGCAAGGCAAACTTGTTTTCGTGACTGCCAAACCGAGAGAAGCCCGTAAACGTTTGCATTACAGTGAATAAAAAGGTAAAACGTTTGTACGGTAAATTATAAATTTAGCTACAGAGCATTTGTCCTTATTAGGGGCGTACGCAGACACGCCCGATAGGTACAGGAAAAATCCAAAATAAAAATATGTTTTTGCTGGATATGAAAAATCACACCAGCAGTGACCACGTCGCTAGGAGTTCCGAAAAAATGTCTCTCACGTTTTGCAAATTTAAAACAACCCGCCGGTATTTGTACGATCACATTCCAGTTACTAATTATCTAAATAGTTTATGATTTCTTTACCTTAGCAAAATATCAACTAAATAAGAGCAATCTAATTTATTATTAACTACCGCAGCACAGGCTGCCTTACCACAAGGCGTCGAAACGACAAAAGAGTTTATTTTTATTATTATTAAGCGCCACAATGGAAATACATTATAATTTCCTTTCCATTTATGATAAGCCTATATTTTGTAATTGTGGTTATTTTCTGGGTTCTACCAAACTCGGGAATAAGAGTATTTGAAAACATTTTCATAATTTCTACTGTTGTGTATCTGTCACACGCCTGTACGGCGTAACCAGTAATGGAAAAAGGTAACGAATAAAAAGCACACTATTATTAATAATCGACGTTATTCTGCATTAGAACATCACTAAGAGCTGTCGTTAAGTTAAGCCAGGTAGGCGTCTTACTTTTTGTTTTGTTTTTTTTTCCTGTGAAAAAAGTGTCCGAGGGGCTTTGTTTTTTTTATATTTTAGCCTTCTGAAAACGGGATGAAATATTCCGTTTTTTTTTTCTGAACAGTCATATAGCGGCCTTACAACACGACCTGGCCAAACCCGGCGGGTGACAGGAGAGGAATAGAAACCGGAGCACGTGTAGCAAAGTTGTTATTAATTTTATTCTATAAATCATCAACTGAAAGACACACAATAGCGTTTGATTAGGGTGAATGGAGACCTGGTTATTCATTGCCGAGCGTTATAAACAAGCTCTTCAGACGCGCAGTCTTCGTCGGTATTCACCAAGGCAAACAGTCCTGTTTGGGTTAGCAAACGTCTAGAACCGAGGCGAATTCAATCCTCAATCCAGCCGGACCGCGGGCCGTGGGGATGTTGCTGGAGCCCCTAGACGAGCGAGCACACCTTGAGCCGAGCGCGGTAGGAACATTCTCCGAAAACTCGCACCTTCGTGAATATGATCGCCTTTCGATCCGACAGATCTGTTATCGGAATCTGTAATTGGTTTCTTTAATATTTATACAACGGTGGCGTATTTAATGAAATGCGTAAAGTAGATAGGTATTATCAAGATCGTCTGTTTAAGTTTATAAAGGAGACCAGAAAATGCGGGGAATCGGTTTTTGTTTTATTCTTATTTTTTTTCCTTTTGTTGAATTCTGTTTTATTTTAATTTTCTGGTGAATTTTTATAAATTTCCCTATTCTTGCTCGTGCTGTTACTCGTATCCGGATCTTTAGTAAATTGATAACAAGAAGGAAAGTGTGACGCGCTTTTAATGCAGACGTGTAATATAGCGTCGCGAATATTATTGCGGCGATCGCCGTTCTTTAGATTTTACAGGTGCCGGTTGTATTTGTATCCTAATTATGTCAAGATATTGCAGACTTTTAAATATCACTAGGGACAGTCAGGTCGGTGCACAAAATCATGTAGAGTCTCGTTTAATTTGAAAATGTATTATTATTTTTTTTCCTGGAATCATTACCACGACACAAACAATGCGGATTCTCAAATATGTCCCGGGTTCACAGACGCTCTATAAGTTATATACAGCGGTATAGGTTTTTGGGGATTTATGGAGATGTTTTAAGCGGGTGATTTTAAATCATTTCTCTGGTTAAGGCTCGCCGAGTCCGGGTGAGGTTTCTCTAAAAAAAAGGCAAAGCGACGTTACGATTTGTGGCCTAACCAAAACCGTATATTGTGCATTAAAAATGACTCCAGACACCAAGTTGTAAATTATGCCGGATCAAATAAACAAATCCACAGGAGTAATTAGATCGAAAACGTCAAGACGCCCCGTAATTAATCTCCCGGCTCTTCAAGCGTGTGGAAGAGCTGTGAAAGGAGTCATCTGTTTTGTTCTTTGGGGCCTCTTTAATCTTGAAGTAAATTCATTTAAACTCCAGTCTGACTGTATGCAGACGTCGCGGGCGTTTTTCTCAGCTGCGGTTTATAATCCCGTCCCAGCGAGGACCGGCAGCGGGTTTCTCGGCCTTCTCACCTCCCGGAGGCCGAGTTCAGCCGCGCCTGGATTTCCAGTTCGTGGCAAGCGAAGCCACCGGCGGCTTTCGGCTCAACGTGCCAGCCCGCAGAAAGGGCGAGAGAGAGAGAGCTGTTGCGTGACTTTCCAACGTTTTGACACTGTTTGACGGCGGTCTGTGCTTCTTACACATATATAAATAACTGACACGGCTGT